GTGTGTGTGTGTGTGTGTGTGTGTGTGTGTGTGTGTGTGTGTGTGTGTGTGTGTGTCTGGAATCATCTAGAAAATATGAAGATGGAGTCATGTTACTCAAACACTAGATGGCAATGCAATACCACAAGGCAGCAGAAGTAAATCTACTCCCTTTTCATAGTACAAAATAGAGAGTGAACCAAAATAATAGCAAGAATTTGGGGTATTTTGAATTACACATCACGTGACTTGAATTTAGTTTTATATGACCACATATACAGGTGTGCGAAAAGTCCTGAAAAAATCTATTAATATTTTTAAAATACACATCAGTGCAAACTGTGCCATTTCAGAGAAGCATATCAGAGAACTCTCTGGTGGCTATGGACTTTTCTGGCCAAAAGAGTCGGGTGATCGAGAACCCATCCGAGGTGCTCTCAGTAGCTGTAGAGGAAGGCTTGTCGTGGAGGGTAAGTCTTAATGTCTCTTAATCTGGTTCTATTAACAGAAAGAAAGCATAAAATTTAGGCTAATAACTAATAATGCTTCACTTTAGTTTAAACATCTTTCTGTTGTTTTATTCATTGAATATATTCAAATAATATGTTAAATTTGATAATATTTCCCAAAAGTAAATGCGACTGTCAAGCGTGAGAAAATCTTAATGCCTCAAGTAACTTGCAAATGAGCTAGAATGTTATGCAAAATGAAACATCATAAATTAACTATGTATTAACATTATTTTCACTCATATATTAGTTGTAATTCTCTTCGCCCACAGAGGAAAAGCTGCCACCGCTTGAGTGGTCATGGGAGCCCTTCCACAGCCCAGAGCTCTGTGCTAAACATAGGTGTGTGAAGCATCAATTTCACTTTTTTAATGTACAACTGAAAGATATTTTCTGACGTAGCATCTCTGCTTCAGCTATCCACGTGGCTCAGCCGTGGTTTCATGGCAAACTGTCTCGTGAAGAGTCTCACCGTCTAATTGCTCAACAGGGTCTTATTGATGGGTAAACAGTTATATACTTCTATTTGTGCTTTGGCTCATTTAAGACATTAAATTTGATTTGCAGATATATATATATGTATAATTTTTTCATCAACATGAGCATGTTTGCACTAAAGCAAAGCAACACAATATTCTCTAATGTGATGTAATTTACCATATGAGGCAGTTCACTCTGTCCGTTTAATGTTGGTAAGTCTTTATAATGACTGCTATACTTTTTATTCTCTTTGTTTCAGAGTGTTTCTTCTGAGGGACAGCCAGAGCAACCCTAAGACATTTGTACTTTCACTGTGCTATATGCAAAAAATTAAACATTTTCAAATATTACCAGTGAGTATAATTAACCATTTGAAAATTACTGTGCAAAGGTTTTAGGTTCAAAAATGAAGTGGTTCTTGATTACAAAAAAAGAACCCCTAAAGTATTTTTCCCTTTATTCATTCATGACCTTCATACAACAGAAAGGAGATAACTGTATTGAATATATTTGCATTCGAAACGCAGTGTACCTTGGTAAACTTACAGCCGTTTCAAAGTACTCGGCACGTGGGTTATTTTAAGCATCCTCAAAAACTTGCCACAGTTCTTCTGATGAGTCAGGCTGTCTCGGTGTTTTCCTGGACATTAACAACTAGCATCCTCTGTAGATGCACAGTAGAATATATTTTGGACTGATCAGATTAGACACCTGATTATACCTGGAACAACTGAATTACCTATAACTTTTGCATAGTACATAGTATTTTTGCATGTTTTTCATTAATCTCTGAAAAATTACCTGAAATATTTAAACTCATTTGCACCAAGTCACCTGTTTTTTGTGTGTCATTCATTTCTACATGGATTTGTATATGTCTGTGTGTATGCTTCATTGTAGGTGGACGATGAAGGAGAGTTGTTTTACAGTCTTGATGATGGTCAAACACGGTTCACTGACTTGATCCAGTTGGTGGATTTTTACCAGCTAAACCGTGGGGTGCTTCCATGCAAGCTCAGACATCACTGTGCTCGGATAACCCTGTGAACAAGGGACCCAAAAGACAGCTGAGGTCCCACATGCACCTTAATTCCTGGTTCTTCTGGAGAAACACAATGGTGTTTTTGTGCCTTGGAAAAAAAAAAAGAAGATAAATAGTTGTTTTCATAATGTGGTACATGACTCAACCTTATTTTTTCTTATTCAGAAAAAGGTGAATTTCACAATAAAATAAATAACTACTGGTGCTGAAGATCATGTGGATTACATTTTGGCCCGTTAATGTATTGGTGTAAGTATGTGGTGGTAGTAGTTGAGATACAGCAGCAGGAATTTGAGTGTTCATTGAAAATAATCCAGCAGAACGTGTGCTGCAGTATGTATAGAGCAAAAGTGCTGTAAATATGTGACATTTACGGTCTGTTAAAAGTAAATGATGACTGAATCCCTACAAGGACATGCTTGTGGAAACCTGTAGATGGCTCTACACTGTCAAGTCTGGGAACAACTAAGCTATTATTATACTAAGCTATTTTTTTTGATAGGTATTCGTATTTTTTAAGAAAGTTACTCATTTTTTTTGTTTGTTTCTTTTTTTAATTTGAAGTGATAAAATTACCTCTGAGCAAGTTTCACTGCGCATGCCTTACAAGGGATTGGCAAAGAGCTGTAATGCCCCGGTGAAGAGGTTCCAACCTCACTGACTTTGCATTGTGCACTGCATAAACTATATAGATATAGTTATGATTAAGTGAACCGTTTGTATCCATGGAATCAGTGAAAAAGTTCCCCTGAAGTAAGAGCAATGAAATAAATGCTAAAGATTTTTTTTCTTTACATGTAATCAGAAATGACTGATATTTGAATTCACTGTAAATTGAAATTTAGGTTTTGTAATTTCCCGAGATTCAGGCAGACAATTTGCAACACCTGGGCTGATTGTATGTTTTGACGTTATAGCCACATCTGTGGATATACGGTGTCAGATACTTTTTTTTTTTTTAAATGATGTTAGTCCTTCTAACATTGACATTCAGCTTCATACAATCTTTTTTTTTTGTAACAGCAACAATGTAAGAACAAGGTATTTTAAATCACAGTAGCTGGACAACAGTGCATTGAAATGCAGTTTTGTAAATAAACTCATATAAACCTGTCTGTTGTAAGGTGTGATTTTTGTATGATTGTTTTGGTTGTTTTAACAACAGGCTGCAAGGCAAACACATGGCTTGTTAAAGCACCATAAAGTAGGTCGAATTGATGCTTAGAAATTCACTTAATGTTTATACATGGTCTGTACATAATTTTTATTGCTGGCTATGCATATACCTGTAAAGATAAGATCTGGTATTGTGTGCAGGAACCACTATGCTAACAAACTCACCCTTTCTTTAAATAGCAGTAACATATGACAGTACACTGGAACAATATATTATTGTCTTTTTGAGTAATATAGGGCATACAGGGTTATCATATAAATGCAGTTAAACTTGAGCAAAGTATAAGATTCCTCCTGAGCCGACTCATCAGCACACAGAGGGGTGCTGCTCTGGTCAGAAAGATTTTTATTGTGCCAACGTACATCGTGATTTTCTAATGGAATCCAGCTCAGAGTTAAATTTAGCCACACTGTATAGTCTGCATATGGCTCTCATCAGGCTAATACTGTCTGGAATTAATTATTGAACTTTTGGGGCAATATATATATATATGTAATTTATTTTCTCTCAACAGCACTGGCTGATTTTTACAACCACTAGATGGTACTAGAAGCATTTTACTTTTGCTTGTGGAAGTTTATGTTTGAAATAATAGGTCAGGTGCAATCCTAGTTGCATAATACATATACAGTTTGTGATAAAGATGCTATTTGGGGTTGTGTAAAATTAAAGTTGCTTAAGACATAGAAGTAAGACACTTTAATTATTGAATATCATTAACTGTTATTGCATTAATCTGCTAATAATGCTAAAATGCATGAAGAAATATCGAAATGTTGATATATATTGCAATAATTCAATGAATTTTACACTGACTGGATGCCACTGACTGCCTTTATACACCAGTGGTTAGTGAATTAATATCAGTTTCAAGTAATGTATTTGAGGTAATTATGTCACCTACAATTGACTTTAAAGGATTAATAGAATTAGAAAAATTTAGCAAAGGATAAGGGATCGCGACGGCTGTGCAGTAAATGAAACAGAACAAAATTGTCTTGAAGCATCTGTGTTAAACAATCTTCTCTGTTGTGATACAAACACATTGCCCCCATACCTCCCCTGTTCTACTTCAGTAGCACATTTTGAAACAGTGCGCACATCCAAGGGAGATGAGTGCACACAGAGAAGTCTTAAATGCACCCCTGCTTCCGAGGTCTTGTGCTAAATGTTGTTTTGGATGTATTCCTGCCATTGATCGGAGTCTGGCTGGAGGGGGAGAGATGGCAGCTGGGAGAGACTGCGCTTCCTTTAATGAATTCATCCTCCTCTATCCTGCCCAAACGGCCTGTGGATACACCATCTCTCCCAGTAAAGAAAACCTCTCTGCCATGTCTTGGCCCTCATGGACAACCACCAGTGTTCCTAACACTTCATGCTACTGCACTGAATTTACTCCTGCGTGCACTTTTACTCTTATGACTTCAGGTTTTGTACTTGAGAACTGTCAACTTTGCTCTGTTCTTAAATGACCCTCATGTTGCATTCCCCAAGTCTGGATTCAATTATCTGATTTCAGCCAGTTACTGATTATCTCCAATGAAATGAAGACCTTGCTGTTTGCTTTGCTCTTGATCAACAAAAGGGCATTATCTCAGCTTGGTTTTGAGTCCAGGCAGAGTCTATAACGAAATGAAAATAGTTTTGTTTCAGGGATGCGTAACAGTTAGAGGCTTTAACTGTTCTTTTGCAAAAGGAATTCCCATCATAAATATCTAAAGCTAGAAGCAAATCCAGAAGCACTATGGTGGCTACAGTGGACTTAAGCAGCAATAATTATGGGTCAGTTTGAAAGAAAAACTATGAAATATATGGCATTATTACAGATACAGGGTAAAATACATATTAAAATATGCTGGACTCCTTGTTTTACTTATATTGAATAATTTACAATATTTAGACTGAGTGTTATTTGGTCTCTAGTGTTTTTGCTCTTTCTGTATGTTAATGTTGTGAAGAGGAAAATTATTCTTAGTAAAAATAAATAAAATAATTGTCATTTTAAATAAAATCAGAAGCTGTTGGGGTCATGCAAAAAGATAGGACTGGTAACTATAAAGCTATATATGTTTATTAGAGAGTATGCAGACTGGCTCATGTAGATGGTTTTAAATAGTAACCAGCTTTAGATTAAATTCTATTAACTTATTATTAGTTGTTAAGATGGTATTTGTTCTTTGTATGTCTGAAAGGTCATTCAGTATTTTGTTTATTTCTTGTTTAGAATTATGATTTCACAAAACAAACATTGGACTCAAACATTGGATAATTAATTTAAAAAAAACAAAAAAAAAAACAAGTAATTAAGACTAATAAGACTTATAAGTTATAATTTGTGGGTTGTTAAATGTATACATTAACACAGCAACAACAATGGGAATAAATTTGTTGTTAATCAGTAGCTGCTATACCAGTTTGCATCTTCTATACTTACAGACTGTGAGATTTGACAGCGTGGTTTGTGCCGTGGTGTGAGGCGCAATTTCTTGGTGTATTGAGCATCTTTGGTAATGTATTATGTCTCAGATAATTGCTCAGACAGTGCTTGCTCTATAAGTAGCCTTTCTAACCTCTGATATATTTTTCTGGGGGTCTTGGAACTGGCAAACGGTAAGTGCCAAGCTTTGTTAATTACAAGGATAACAAATGCACTTGTCAAATAATGGATGTGGTTGGCAATTTCAAGTTTTAATAATCAATTACTGGCAGTAATTCTCTGTGGAGTCACAGGATAGTCATTAAATCTCAAAAGGCGGGACACATACTATGTAGCTTTTTCCTAAGCCCTATTTTTAAATACATAAGGGAACACAGTGTGCTTTAATGTGTTGAATTGTGTTGCCTTATTACAATGTAAAGTAGCCCAGTTATACATAGACAGTGTATTGCTCTGTTCCTGAAAAATAACAGTGTGGTAAATTGTCATATTAATGCTTCTTCATAAAGGAACAGAGATGTTGCGGCACACTAAAGTTACCACTTTTATTATGTCAAAGCCAGAAGTTTCATTTAGCACCAAATCCTATATGAACTTGCATTCAGCAGACAAATCTGTTTTTTCTTTCTTTTTAGGCCTGAAACGCCTCTGAATGTGGCCTTTTTGATCTTTAAAAACAAGAACATAGTGGTATTGAATCATTTTGTTGTTGTTGTTGTTTTCCTATACAGCAGGGTTCCTGTTATTGTATATGCAGTCCACCTTCAAAGCTGAAACATTGCAGAGGTTCTTCTTGACCTTGAGAAATTAACATGGGAGGACTGGCTTTGCTCTGAGGGAGTCCTATAGAGGCCACATCCCCTCCTAATCCCCAGTTGAAAGGCATACCTCTACTGCTCAGAGAAAACAGAAACAATGCAGCAAGTCAAGTATTTACATGAAAAGTATTTCTTATCCAAGTACACCAAATGTGAAACATTTACTTAGATGAAAATGTTTCATGTCTCTACACATCCCATCATATATCACGACATGAAACATTTCATTCTGACTGTTTTATCCTGATCTCATTAATCTACATTAATCTCTTTGTGATTAACGTACATCGGGACAGAACAAAGTGCTCGTGAACAGGGAGTGAGGTGGAGAGCAGGAGGGAGAGCGGGACTGAGTTTGGCTCTACACAGTTGAACAAACAGAGAATCTGAAGTGCAGCGCCCTGTGTGGCTTCCCACCAACTGAACAACATTAAGGCAGTCCTCCATGTAAAACCTGCTCACTTTTCCCACAAACTCTTGAGTTTGGCAAACGGGCAGCTGCTCAGCAGGGAGGAGCTCTCACTGGAAGGCAGACAGCAAGCTTTGGACAGCAGGGAGACATAAACCACAGCTTCTGGTGGTGATGGGCTGATGTTTTAGGTGATCAAAAGGATGGGTAAGAAAAGGAAAACGACAGGGGTAAAACCAGGAGGGGGTCTTGGAGAGGAAAACATTTTGGACTAAAGCTAGAAAGACATGAAAAGCAAAGTACAGCTGATATGCTTGACCGTGCAGCACTTGGGGTGAATATTTTTGTACACTGAAAAAGTACACCGAAACTCTCAGGTTCCCTTTCTTATTTTAGCTATCATTCCATTCATTCCATTCATGTGATATATATCACGGGACAATTTACTCCAAGGGCACAAATTAGGATGATATATTGTACTAGTATTTTTTTTCTGCAAAATAGGCCAAAATGTTCACCGTGCTACACACAGATACACATTTACACGTTCACCAGCGCATTTGCACACGTACTGGATCAATTTAAATTCCTTCCTACATTTTCTCATTTACATGGTGTGTGAGAGACTCCTGAACAGAGTAGGAAGCCTTGTGGAAGAATTAGGAAATCGTCCATTTCTGAGAACACAGCGGAATAGAGGCAGAGCAGCATATGTTGGGATTTGAATGGTCAATCGATGAATAACCCAGAGCGGTGTTTTTCTGTGCAGACTGGCAGCCGCTGTGTAGCGGTATCCGTGTGTATGTGTGAGTGTGTGAGTGTGTAAGAGAGAGGGAGAGATGGGGGCATGGAGGAGTGGGGATTCATCCTTCCCCAAAGTATTACGCAGTGGTCAAAAATATTTGCAATGCCAGGAGGTATTTTGAAAAATTCAATACCGTGCTGACCTTTTGCTGGGCATTTGTGAGCAGATTCACTCTCTGTTTAATCTGGCTCAGAGTCAGGGAAGATTGGTGTTACTATATCATGTTGTTGATTTTAAATTATGGTAATCTATTCTGCTCATACTTTTTCTTTGATGTCTTTATTAAAATCTTTTGTTTTACAGTCAGGGTTGTGTACCACAAATTTGACAAAACAAGAACCTAAAAATTAAACTGACACTAAATGGACAACAGTGCATGTGCTATAAAACAGAGAGCTGCCCATAGGATTTATAAATGGATTTTATGTAATGCATCAGTATTTATTCCCCTTTTACAAATATAAACT